GTCGGCACTGGTGCGTCAGGTACAAAGGTGCAGATGTGCGGGCCTCCGGACCGTCGGTGTAGGCAGCAATGCCCATCTCATCTTTGTGCGCGGAGGCAGACGTCATCAGAAAGGTGGACGGGCACTATGTACACGGCCCTAGGTTTGTTAGAGGGAGCTGTACTGTCTCAGTAACCTGGTTTTGCCATCAAAGGAGGAGGGGACAGGTGGTGACGAGCTGATTGGGCTGGTTGACCCTNGATGTACTGTCTCAGTAACCCGGTTTTGCCGTCAAAGGAGGAGGGGACACGTGGTGACGAGCTGCTTGGGCTGGCTGACCCTTCGGCGCGAGAATTTTCCGACCAAGAACCCTGAGTGCAACGAGGGAGAAAGCGAGGAACCGACTGGGAAGGACAGCAACGAGAGCGTGTACGAAGCGGAGCGGGTCGAGTTTGGTCGTGCTAGGACTGGCTACAGCGGCACCGGAGCAGCGGAACCGGAGCAGGCGGACGGCATCGAACCGTGGCCCACAGACAAACATCTCTTGTGTTGTCAATTATGTTTCCGTTTTTTTCCTGAATAGTCTACAGGTGTTGGGTGTTTTGTTTGTTTTTCTCCCATCATTGGATTCTGTCGTCTGCCCCTCTGGCCCCTATCCTCCACTTCTATCAGCTGGACGACCCAACCGGGGTCACATAGGAGGGGGGGGTTGGCCCCCCTCCTGCGGTTCCTGCCCGAGATATTTTTATCGCGAGAAGGGTACAGCAATCCCTTCCCTCGCTACTTATGAAGTCGATCAAGTTTACTAGCAACGCAGCGCGTCGCTTCCAACGGAGACCAGGATTTAATTAGCGAGAAAAACCTCACTCTGTCGGGACTCGAACCCATGACCTGGCCCTTAGCAGGCTACGAGACTACCCACTAGACCACCGGGGCGACCGGTGTGTGTGACGACGTCACTGGTTTTGTAGAGAGAGACGCGTCAGAGATGGCGCAGATAACCCGGGTACCTTGATTGTGTACCTGCATCGTGGAAGACCCCTTCAATGTGGAACGATTCCTAGTCAGTGCCGATGTTTACACTGCTGTGCCTAACACAGATGATCTGGATAGATTCGGGTGATTGTCAATGGCAATGGTGGCTTTGGTTGGGTGTTCTTCGTCATCATTGTATACGTCCACAGACTCATTCTGACAGCACTTCAGACAGCAGCTCCATGCCCCGAGCTTGTGTACCATGCACCACGGTGTTATTATTGTACAGACAGCACTTCAGACAGCAGTACGCTGTAGTCGACAAACATTCATTTTGGTTATATGCGGGACAAGGGGGGTGATGCTGCTGTTGTAATAGTCGATTTGTACCAGACGTGTGTGGGCGTGTAGTTCAGTTGTGAGCACGCAAACGTGCTGCAGGGATTGCAGGTGTACCTCCTCGGGCTTGAGTACCCTTTCTTTGCTAACAGTGTGTGTGTTCTTCAGATCTTCTGATGGCNTTGTGACCACGGACCGAGTCTTTGCTAGATTTTGGGATTAGCAACTGACACGAGTTCAATGTAAAGAAAAACAACAACAACAAGCCCAGGATGTATCTGAACGGATGAATTTTTTCTTGTGTCAGAATCATGCAGAAGATAAAGCATCTGAGAAATATTTTTTTAGTGTATGATTTCCTGCACTTTTGCTGTGGACCACATCTTCAACTGAGTTTGACGAACTCGTGTTTTCTCAACACGGAAGATCTGACTCAGACACGGTTGTGAAGATGTTGCAACCAGAATGACAATACTTCCAACACCTGTTTACATGTTTATCGCCCAAGGCCTCTATAAACGCCAAAATACATCCTTAGCAACGATTGATCTGTGGCGCATAAAGGGGGGGATTATATGGAGGACAGGTGTAGAAGTGATGTAACCATTGTTGTTGCACATACGAAAGAAAGACCAAGATACGATCCGAACGGAGTATCTCACTGATGGTTGACCAGCGAGAGACCCAACTATGGATGCGTCCCTCTTAGCTCCACCTCTGGAGCTTGGGAATCCGAGACCCTTGGGCTTGGTCTCCCTCGGCCCTTTGGCGGGACGCTCTATTTTCTCGCTCTCTTTTGAGACCCTCTCCTCTCTAAATCTCAACGAAGAGAACTACCAGCCTTACTAGTGGGTAAAGACTACTGCGACCTAGGTCTCCCCCCAACGAGGGAAGCCTGTGTCCTTAATGTACGTACATTGATTAGCAGTGAATCTATTGCGTCAGCGGAAGCTATCTGTATTTTCGCGATTTCCCGAGCAACGCACAGCGACATCTGGCCTGTGGGTAACAGGCTCACCAACACAGCTTGGTAGCCATCTTGCGGAGCTATCTGTGTATGTTATGCTAGGAAGGTGTAGACTAGAAGGTGTTGGGTTGATTTGGCGGGTGTGCTATGTGTGGCACCCTTAATTCGGCGTATGGAACAAATGCGTATCAAGCAACTGTCAGCGTGTGCGTTCGCCCCATCTACATTTTCTTCGTAGAACGAGCAATTCGTGTGTGTGTTCGTCCCATCCACTCTTGACATGGTGGTGCAGCCAAGGCTCCACATCGATACGACGGACGGCATGTAGACTTGTCTGTGGGTTATCGTGGATAACATAAAACAAACGACGTGGCAAAACCTCACCACATTGTTTGGTAGGTAGCACAGAGAGTCAACACGTCGGCAGAAACAACATTGTAGACTACTGCTGTGTTGTACTCTGGACAATAGGTACGGGGTGATTGCCTATCTAGACTACATGCACTGTAAGGAGGCACTGCATCCTTTTCCTCAGTTTCCGCCGTGCCAATACTGTATGCCATCGCGATGACGACATACATGTTTGTGTCGTAGGAGGGCGTCGACAGGGGAAACGCAGTAGATTACATGTACGTAGAGGTCTAGGCATATCAATGCAAATATGGATATTGGCAGGCGCTTTTATTCGGCTTGGGTTGGCGTCCATGGACCAGAAACCGGACAACAGACTGGTACACACGTACACACCAACACACATAGACTACCTACCTTTTCGTCGAATTTTTCAAGTCCAGATTCAGCCACAAAAGGCTCGCGGCGCAGGTTGTGGCGTCGCGGTTTCAGCATGAAAAGCGCAGGCGAGCTTCAGCCGGCGAACGCTGGCAGGTATACACGAACAACTTGGCGTGTCCGCACGTCGATGGGGGCTTGTTCAACACTTGTGCCGAAAGCGATATCACCGAATGCATGGGCTCACCTGATAGATTACTGGTTATGCCCTGTGAACCCGAAAATGAGAACATCATGCGAACTGATGCCTGCGGACCAGGAAGGATACCCCGCAACTCTCGAAATATCCCGGTGAAAACGCTGTTGTTGATGCCGTTGCTCCCTGTTCAACACGCGCTCTCTCCACGGCCTTCACACCAATCTTCAGGCCTCCCTTCCTCCGAGGTAGGGCTACCCCGATGCGTTGCACACCGAAGAGTTGGACTGACGGCGGCAGCAGCAGTAGAAACCAGATTAGGTAGCCGACAGTGAGTGCTCGACAGGCTGCAATTCTGTAGGCTTGTCGTGCCAGCCTCTCGAGGTTCGCGGACGCCGTCATAGAAGTTTCCACCTTGGCAACCGTCACTGCGGTTGCCGACCTGAACGATCCGGGCTTCACCGCTGACAACGGATGCGATCCATTGGTGTGTGTCGCTGAGCTAACCAGCGTGAGTGGAGTCGTGTTCTGCGACTGCTGTCGACATGCCGTGAACGTTCCAGTTTGAACCGCGGGAAAAGTCAAATCTACCATGGTTGTTCCGTCTCCCCACGGACCAGCCTCAATCACAACGGCCACTGCTGCATGTGCATGTCGTCGGCATCTGGTTGAAGGGAGGTGTCTCTTTTCTTTGAGGACCGCGTCTGCCTGGCTGCGTAGTGATTTGGCTTTGTTCTGATCCGCGCAAAATTGAATCAACCTACACGATGCTGGTTCGACAGCCGGAAATCAGTCGCTGAAATTTCGTGCATGATCGTATCTATCTCCCCTTGGAAGGGAGATATTGAGACACTTTATAGTTCAAGGATTTCCTGCAGTCAGGTCATGGTCGTGGGGTCTAGACAACATACACAATGATCGTCAAATGCAACCATATTGCACTTGGAGAGGACTGTAGTCTAGATTACCCGGCCTTCCATACTTGACCGTACTTCAATAAATGGTACTTCGTACATGATTTACCGCAGATTGTTGGGGATGAACCCGCCGTTCCACCCGCCGCGGGGGCAACCCGGGGGCAACCCGGGGCCTACACGATGCTGGTTCGACAGCCGAAAATCAGTCGCTGAAATTTCGTGCATAATCGTATCTAGCTCCAAGGGAGATATTGAGACACTTTATTCATAGTTGAAGGATTTCCTGCAGTCAGGTCATGGTCGTGGGGTCTAGACAACATACACATTGATCGTCAAATGCAACCATATTGCACTTGGAGAGGACTGTAGTCTAGATTACCCGGCCTTCCATACTTGACCGTACTTCAATAAATGGTACTTCGTACATGATTTACCGCAGATTGTTGGGGATGAACCCGCCGTTCCACCCGCCGCGGGGGCAACCCGGGGGCAACCCGGGGCCTACACGATGCTGGTTCGACAGCCGAAAATCAGTCGCTGAAATTTCGTGCATAATCGTATCTAGCTCCAAGGGAGATATTGAGACACTTTATTCATAGTTGAAGGATTTCCTGCAGTCAGGTCATGGTCGTGGGGTCTAGACAACATACACATTGATCGTCAAATGCAACCATATTGCACTTGGAGAGGACTGTAGTCTAGATTACCCGGCCTTCCATACTTGACCGTACTTCAATAAATGGTACTTCGTACATGATTTACCGCAGATTGTTGGGGATGAACCCGCCGTTCCACCCGCCGCGGGGGCAAGCCGGGGGCAACCCGGGGACAACAATCAATCGTGGTTCAAAAATCTTGTTCGTTAATTTGCAGCAGTTAGCGAATTGTAGTGCAAATCAACGAGGGTGTACAAACGTTACCTCAAACGCCTGAAGAAGTGGCGTGTTCAAGATTATCGTGCAATGACTAACTAGCCTCGCCTAACCAAGAATATTGTATTGTCAACCCCGCCTTTCAAATATCTTACCCGATTCTTCCAACACATCGTCAGCGTTGTACACAGGAACGACCAAGGTCAGGACGGTCGATGAAACCGTCGATGGTTCCCTCGCCACCACCTGGAACAGCTCGACTTCGAGAGCATTGATCTGTCGGGACATTCTGGACAAGACATTGCGGTCACGGGCGTCCTGGACAATGCGGAGTGGCTCAGCATCGAAGAGGTCAGTGAGCAAGTTTGGTGTGCCCAAGTCTGCGTTAGCTATTATAAGTGATTGCGCGGTGGGGGCGATTTGATG